AGCATTTCGATATACTTTCATATATATAAATGCACATAACACTGTACCTAATACTTTACACACTTTTATTTTATTTTATCTTGTATATAAATCACTTTAATTCAACTTTTGTAGACTTGTAAATTACATTGAATTGCACCCATATTTACAATAACACATGGTTGCAAACTGACACATAACATGTGTTGCCATATTGTACAAAATAATACATACAAAGAAGGCAATGTTTAAAAAGGAATACAGGGGAAATCAATACAAAAGAAAATGTAAATTTACCGCTACTTTTATTCTGGGCGTGTATTATTATCAATGAGGGTTCGAACCCCTCTGCAAAAATATTGCCCATGACGTAGGCGGTGTTGGTTGGTCCCGCCCGATTTGCTTGCTTTAAGTTCGGTCGAAGGCCGCTTACGCAGAAAGGTGTTCTCTGCAAAAGGTGTTCAGCTCCTTTTCTTCGCAAAACAGAAAGGAGAATTCTACTGCCTGAGGGTTATAATCCCTAAGTGCGGCCGAAGGCCGCCTACGTAGAAAGGTGTTCTCTGCAAAAGGTGTTCAGCTCATTTTCTTCGCAAAACAAAAAGGAGAATTCTTTTGCCTGAGGGTTATAATCCCAAGTACGGCAGAAGGCCGCCTATGTAGAAAGGTGTTCTCTGCAAAAGGTATTCAGCTCCTTTTCTTCGCAAAACATAAAGGAGAATTCTACTGCCTGAGGGTTATAATCCCTAAGTGCGGCCGAAGGCCGCCTACGCAGAAAGGTGGCCTCTGCAAACGGTGTTCAGCTCCTTTTCCTCGCAAAACAGAAGGGAGAATTCTACTGCCTGAGGGTTATAATCCCTAAGTGCGGCCGAAGGAAGGTGTTTTCTGCAAAAGTTGTTCAGCCCCAGGGACTGTCCCCTTTCTAGTGGGGTGCTTTGGGGCCTCCCCCTCCGCCCCCACCCCAAAAACGATGTGAGCGCTACTAAACATTAAACATTTCCCATTTAAAATCTTTATTTTAAATTAAAGTTTAATTCTTTCACTACACGTGTATGATAAAGTTTTTAAAATCGGATCACACGTTTGGACACAATTACCCAACATCATTGTACAAATAACTAAACCGTACCGTATTTTTTCTTCAACAAGTTGCGTTCCAAATACTTCACGATTAACTTCCACATCATCTTCCTCATCACTAAACAATATTTTAACTGTATCCATTTTTTTAATTTTATAATAAAAGCAATTATTTTAAAAATGATGTAAATGGAACACTAAATAAACAAATGTAAAAAAACAAACAGCTGTTTACAATTCAGTCAACCATTCACAATAGTAGAAATTTGTGTCGATCAAGTTACACAATAGCGAAATGAAAGATTGTCGACTCGATCGACAAAGTTCTATTCTACTGCCAGTCGACACTCGCAATATGTATGCTCCTGCAATCTTTTTTGGAAATTCTTGAGTTTGACAGACTTTTCAAAAGGACTTGCATTTGCCACATCGCACAAGGAAAACGTGACGGTATTCAATCAATACTCCCAGAACGACATATGGGAGAGCCCTTCGATGAATCACCATGCGTTACCATTCGGTTTATAGACGGTCGCTTACAAATACTCTTTCCCTTTTAGCTACTATCAAGGTATTCAACAATTCCTCCTCGAATGTCAAAGTCTTTCAACAGCACCATTAGATAAGCCACCAGCAAAGAGTAATGTTTGGCATGAAATTCAGGAAGTTTAGCAAATCACTGCCGCGAGTGCTGGGATACCATGAGATACCGCGCCGATAAGATTTGATATTTTTTTTTTCATCGATGTTATAACAAAAAAAAAAATGAAAAAGTAGTTTGACAACTTGAAGAAAACATGGATTTCATGTAACTGAATCTAGTAACTATATATGATTTACTTAAAACCTCAGTTGGCAAGCGCTTATGTGCTTATACGCATTACAACGCATAGCTTTAAAACTAAAACTAAGTACTATATTAGAGCAACTCGTTCAATTATAATGTATATACACCGTATGAATTTTTATTATAATATGCATATTTTAAGAAAATTATAAAATTGTAATTCCTTGTTTATTAAACACACAGAGAAGATAAATTAAATTCAGCAACATTGAAAGACTCTTTGAAGAGTAACATTATTTTAACTACAAGTGAAATATGACTTATATTACATGTAAATGTAAACATATACATACATGCATACATTTTAAGTATTTACAGCATTTACAGTTGACCTCCAAAATGTTTCAGCTTTAGCATTAAGCTATGTAATCTGAACAGAAATTTTTATTTCGGAAACATCGGTGGCCTACATACATATACAATAAGTGTACCTTATTATCACGACGCAGAGAACAAAGTTAGAGCCATCAGACGTACCGCTACATTGGTTTTGCCGATTTTGACAATTCAAGTAAAAGTAAAAGTAAACATCGCCTCAGAAATTTTAAATGCATTGAAATTCACTAAAGGCCCCGCCAGATAAAAAGTGTTTTCTGTGCCAGAGAGATGCTTTGACTAAATTTGATTGGTCAAAAATCATCCGTTCCATACATTTTTGTTGTTGTTGTTGTTTTGCCGCATATGACGAATTTTATCAGTTGCGGCAATGCACGTCTTCCCAATGTGGCGTCTTCTATTCAAAATCACAGAGTTAACTTGGATGTTAGTTAAAAGCATCCCTGTGACGCAGAAAAGGTTTTCTATCTGGCGGGGCCTTAATATTTTCACAAAAATCGCCGTTTTCTGCCATTTTTATTTTTTAATTTTATAAATCATATGTCTACAATTTAACACAATTAAACCACGTTTTCTATCGAAAATTTGAATATAAGACGCAGAAAAGAATTTCTATCTGGCGGGGCCTTAATATTTTCACTAAAACCGCCGTTTTTTACCATTTTTATTTTTATAAATGATATATCTTTACAATTTAACACAATTAAACCACGTTTTCTATCGAAAATTTGAATATAAGAAAATTTACTCTTCTAACAGTTTGTTCTATCCTCCTATTCGGCTTTGTTTACTTTTACTTGAAAAATGTCGTCGCCGCCAGGACGGCGCAATCTTGTATTCTATCATTCTTACCTCATTATTTGTATATGTTTAATGAAGTAGGTTCTGCAATTCACCTCCCATTCATTTGAATTCAAAGTGACTTTGGTTGAAATTCACTCCGGAGTGAATTGCAGTACCTGCCTAAATTATATTAAAATGAAATTCGGCTTTACATATAACTTTGCGAACGTTTTAACTGTTCAGAACATGTACATATCGTTACCTTAATATACCCACATCGTCGCTGATATGCAAAAAGCCATAACTAAGGCCTTGTTCGAGCAGTGTTGCGCGAATTATTAAAGTATCACAATCAATCAAACTGCGTTTTGTATTTCAGCGACGATGTGAGATAGGGCTTTTCTATGTATATTAAGGTAACGATATACAAGTGTTTATGAACTATGGATTTGTACTACTTATAGTAACCATTTCTAATAGGGCAGCAAAATACACGCGTCATAAATCTACTCATAATCACTATCAGCTGGATCATCTGGTTCATAATCGGAGTAGTCGTCATCCACATCCTTTTTGCACTTACTATGTTTTTTATTCATATTTTCCTTACCACAATCGACCTGCATACTTTCTTTATCTGTAGATTCCTCCTTTGGCTGTACCTCAATTTGCGATCGATGGTGGAAAACGAAAGAAACACATTTACTTGTTAGCCATGCCTGCGATAATGTACTGTCCGACAGTCCTTTATTGTTCGAGCAATGATACCATTGCGACAAATGAGATGTACAATCACTATCCTCAGGAGGTGGTTGCATTTGTATGTTATTTACGCAGCGTTTGCATTTTAATCTACATTGAATAGTTCAATAAAAGTAATAACGAACAAATGAATATGTTAAAAGTGTAAGTTTTGTTTACTTTATATGCGTGTCGGAAAGGATATCTTCTTCATATCGGAATAGGTCTTTCAGATCGTCACGTGTGAAATGCTTTTCGTCACTCTCATTATGATCGATTATAGTGCTTGACAGTGATTTTTTGTGAGTTTGTCGTTGTAGTATTTTTTCTTCAATCGAGCCTGTCTGAAAATGTTTAAATCATAGATATTTTTGAATAGTTATTACATACTAGAAGAGCTGGGCACTTTATGATTACGATTACATTTTGATTACGATAACTGTAATTGTTATCACGAAAATTTTCAGTATTAATTACTGTAATTTTAATTATAACATGCTTTATTGCGAATACTTTAATTGTAATCCTTAAAATTTTGTGCTTACGACTACTGTAATCGTAAGCGTGCTTTTTTTTTAAGATTACAATTACCGTAATTGTTATAATGAAAATTAGGATTAGGATTACAGTAGTCGTAATCGTTAAAATTTTTAGGAGAACAATTAAAGTAGTCGCAATCGTATTCATTAATGATACGATTACAGTTATCGAGAAATTAATTTTCTTTGGACCAAATATGGATTTTTATTCACCAAAATGGTTTTCAGTTACGAATTCGGTTATTTGTTTGGAATTGTAATATTCTACACAGATTAGTCGCAGTATTTGCAATAAAGTTTGGTATTGATTACCTTCTTCAATTTTATATACTTTTCGGTCAAAGCTACGCTAATTTACTTAACTACTAAACCTTTACAATATATTAGTAAATCGCAATCAACATTTTCTTGATTACGATTACATTAATTGTAATGATATTTTTAGGATTACAATTAGTGTTCGTAATCGTAATATTGATGATTACAATTACTGTAATTTTTAGGATTACAATTACAATATTCATAATCATGTATTTCATAATTACGATTACAGCAATCTTTGTCCTAAAATTTTATAATCGTAATGGTAACATATATGATTACAATTTAAATAATCGTAGTCGAATGTAATTTAAGGATTACAATTAAGCAATCGTAATTAAAATCTAATCGTAATCATAAATTACCCAGCTCAGCATACTACTATGTAGAAGAAATACTCAGCCCCAATGCGTAAGTCGTTAATTACGCTAACGTAATTGGCATTGTTTACTGTCGTGCAGCGAAGCCAATTTTTTCGGTTTTAATGCACTAGTCTAGTCGAAATTTTAGGCAATGCCATGAAATTTTCGGTACTATTCGAATCTCGAAAAATGACTTCGACTTGCATTCGACACGACTCTCGCAATGAGGCTGTATAACTCTACTAACAGCAACCAAACGATATATGTAACATGGTTTCCTTTGTCCATCCCGCCAAACTCGAGCCATTGCCTGCTCATCATTTGCCGGATTCCAATCTGGATCGAACATGAAAAGACGGTTCGCGCCAATTAAATTCAAACCACAGCCACCAGCCTTGGAACTCAACATAAAGAGAAAACAATCGGATAGCGGATCGTTGAACTTATCCACAACTTTGCTGCGTTTCTTGATGGTCATGGAACCATCAAGCCGAACGTAGGTGTACCTTCTGTTAATGATAATCAAAGGATATATTATATACTCAAGACTTAAATATATTTACTGCAAGATTATACCTTTTACGCGCAAGTTTTTCGAATAACTCTAGTGTTTGTGTATAGTTCGAAATAAGGACTACCTTATCGTCACTGTTTGTGCGTATAGACGCTAGCATGAAGTCCAGGAGCATAAATTTACCACTCAATTCTGGATTAAACTCCCTAAAGATAAATATGTATAAGTGTTGGACATAATATAAGAGCATTTTTGAACTTACATGTCTCATTAAAAATGAAATGAAATTTGATATTGTAGTCTATTTTATTGTACACTTAAGGTTAATACTTACTTTGGATTATAGTTTGCAGGAAAGAAATCTTGAGAGTTTTCGAAACCATTCTCGCGTGCCAAAACCTTTTCGTAAATTAGATCTGGGTGACTACACAGTTTTTTCATCGTCGTGATGTTGGCAAGAGCAGTTAGAGAGGTCTTTTCATTGCAATCTGCAGTGAAGGAGATAAAAATAAAAAAAAAAGTTGCTATTTGTAGTTTTATTTGAAAGATAAAAATAATTTGAATACCTTTCCTGAACTTACCTGTAAGACTTCTTCGTATTTTATCTGATTTTATGAAGTTTCTATACAAATCCATTTGCATTTGAGTAAGTTTCGCACATATTACCATTTCAAACTTAACAGGCAAATATTTTGTTAATATCTGATTCGTGCGGCGTATGATGCATTGATTCACAAGACCTATTAGCTCCTGTGTTTTCTCTACTGCTCGCTCGCGTTCTTTATCTGTAGAATCTGCGTTTTGGCCACGTAGTATAGCATTTTCAAAATTTCGCTTGAAGTCCGTCGCTGAGCCCAACATTTCCGGATTTACGAAGTTTACTAAACTAAAGTATTCAGTTAGATCGTTCTGTATTGGTGTGCCAGAGAGTAAAATTCGTCGCTTTGTCTTCAACCCCATAAGAGCTTGATATGTCAGATTATCACTATTTTTCAAGCGGTGACCTTCATCACAGATAACCATGCCCATTTCATTACGACATAGAATATTTGCATAAATGCGAAAGGTTTCATAGCTGATCAATAGTACTGGGGCACCACAGCGTTGTCCGCTATCCACCACAAACTGTTCCAGTGCACGAATTGTGTCTTCTTTTGCGCCACCTTCAATAGCAAGACAATGTAAGCGCCCATGCAACCATTTAGTGAACTCTTTTTCCCAGTTTTTGACCAATGATGATGGTGACACTACGATAACCTTTGAAATGGTCGGCTTGCAGTCAGGACTCTGTCGAAGTAGCGTCCATACTAGTGTTACACATTGTAAAGTCTTCCCTAAACCCATTTCATCGGCCATAATACAGCCATTGAATACACCACGAAGCCCTTGGACGCATTCGTACATGAAACGAACCCCTTCGCGCTGATGTGGGCGCAGAATATTGCTTAGTAGTGGATCAACTACTACATGTACTTGTATTTTGTTAGCATCCAATGTAATGCGTTGATGTTCTGTATAATTGGGAGGAATATGCAATACCAAAGCATTGCACGCATGTGGATCGTGCAATGCCTTTCGTACATTGCTGCGCCGCATCCCAAGGCATCGATTACCACCATTGTAATCTGGCACATAGTCAGCGATAGGCACTTTAAATGGCCGCGAAAGTATCTTGGCGATTGCTTGTTCATATTCACTTATTGGCACGACGCGCGGACTCCGAGTTTTATTTACCAAATTTTCCTCCGGACACCTACGTTTTCGTTTGTTTTGAAGGGGTGGTGTAAAATCGCAACATGGATGTAATTTAAATTCCCGATTTTGGCTAGGAGCCATACTTCGTCGCTGGGAATGCAATTTTGCAAATTAAATTTAGTAGTTGGAAAAAATAAAAGTATTTTAACGCATATCTACCATTTTTATCAATTTTTGTTTCGAATAGGCGGCTATATTTAGGTACACGAATTTCGATACGATACGATACCATATCGATACTTTTGGCATTCGATACCGATATTTTCTACTCGATAGTTTTAAAACGATATTTTTTGGAATCGAGTACCAGAACCCTAGTATCGTATCGAATGTCATAAACTCACATTACAAGGCTAATGTTATTAACAATTCTTCCCGATATAAATTGGGCTTTTAAGAGCAGAAATGTGTAATATAGTTAGGATCAGGGACGTGAACCGGATGAAAAATTTGTTTGGTTCGGTTCAGCGGTTCGAACCGTTTTTGCACTTTTGGATTGGTTTGTCAAAGCGGTTTTTTTGGTCTTTGAACCGGGGTTTCGGTTCGGTTCAACGGTTCGAAAAACCAAACAAGTTTAAGTGTCAAGTGCAACAACGCGCAAAGCTAAGAGTCAAGTGTCTGTCAAATGAGATGGGTTGCCTTCATATTTGATATTGTCACATGGTAAACAAACATGATGGGTATTACCATGTTTACCAAAAAGAAAAAAAGTGGGTACATTTATCTATTGAAAATTGGTTGAACCGAACCTTTAAATCTTTATAGAAAGTGGTTCGGTTTTCGGTTCGGATCAAACATTTGTGGAAAATTTCGGTTCGGTTAATGGTTCAGTTAATTAATAGAAAAGAGCGGTTTTGCGGTTCAAAACCGGTTCACGTCCCTGGTTAGGATTGTATGTGGTGGAATTTGAACCCGCGAACTCGGTGTTTTAAGCCAACACCTCAATCTACGTGTTGTTACACAATATGTTAGTGTTTGACCGAGATTTTCCTCCGATTTGTCAAGTGCGCCTTAAGTTCTGAACACATTAAAAACGACGAGCTACGGGCCACAGCTTCCAATTTGTTATCTTTATTGTCTAAACGCTTTGTCGAAGGCGACATGATTTCTTTGAATGCGTCGGCGACATCATGAATTTGTACGAGTTTGACATAAAAGAAGAGGAAGATCCTTATCTGTCGCTGGAAAGATAGAAATAGATCTAATCTGGCCACAACCACAGTCGTTGCGTAGCTCGGTCGTCGCCAAAATAATTATCTACATAAGAGTACGTGTTAAAATAATTTGACAACTATGGTCCATAGCTCGTCGTTTTCATTGTGTTCGGGCTATTAATATTGTGGCACAAAAGGGGTCCCTACAGTTTTATGTCGACTTTGAACGGCGATTTTGTTTTAATGGGGAGTTGTTTTTTATTTTCAAGTTTTGAGCACTTCTAATCATTGCACCACAGCGGCCTATATTCATATAAATTTTTTGGATTTTGGTATCGATATTTGGAATATCGAGTATTTTCATTCCGATATTAATGGGTACCCGATATTTTTAAAGCGATACTTTAAATGAGTACCATATCGATACTTTCTGTTCGATATCGTGTTCCTAGCTATATTATAAGAATATAAAAAAACATCGATGTATCGAGCTACGTCGCTGTATCGAGCTATATCGATGTATCGAGGTACATCGATGGTCGTGGCTTCAAACATCGATATTTGTCGATGTTTTTATTAATCCGAACATGAACCAATCAGAACAGATCTGACCGGTTGAGAAGCAGCAATTTGCAATAGCATTTGAGAAAAAGTGTGTGACGTTCGTAATTTTGAAGTTTGCTATTTCTGTTTTGTTATACCCAAGCGCACTTGTGCACAATTATCATGCATCATTAATGCATGATTCAATAATACACGCGGTTTGACACTACCTAACAAAAGGTTGCATTTACGAAGGAGCAAGAAAGGGGAAGAATGCAATCCCTTGTTGCTAAAATGATAGTAGAAAAGTACGCAAAGTAGGCAATTAGTAGTGAAATTCCTTTTGTAAATTTTAATGTATTTGCAGGAAATCCGGCATTTTAAACGAAATATTGAACGAAATATTAATATATCTACGTGAATTATGTAATTTATGTGCTATTTAGCTGTATAAAAACTGCAAAAGGACTCAAAATTAAAATAAAACTACTATGAGATTTATGTAAACATCCAATTTAAAAACAATTTATGTTTTCATCAGTTAAATGTGCTTCATATGCATTTACAAATGAAAATATTGCATAAAAGCTTATACTTCTATTTAACACCAAAGCTACACTTTTCCAAGTAAATTTGCAAAGAAGCAACACGGTGCTACTGCTAAGGGAGCGGTGCGAGAGAGACAACTGTCAGTTTATCGAACCTTGTATTATTGAGGGCCGTTTACTCAATATGTGGTTAACACTAATCTCCGTTTAAACATCATTATCGACGTGTTCGGCTCCATGCATATAACACGGAGTCGGTAACGTCGATAACGAGGTTTTACCGGAGATTAGTGTTAACCAGACATTGAGTAAGCGGCCCTTAATCATGACTCAATAAAACGAAGGTCTGCATTTCATATCCATGCACACATATGTAATGAACTGAAGGTGGCGCATTCCCGAAACCGCTACTTTGGTTTTGCCGACTTTGACGTTTATGGCAATACGTAAACAAACTTTTTATTTATAAACAAGTGCAAACGTATTGTGTACTTTCAAGTGAAAAATCGAAGTAATTCGTGCGTTCTTAAGTAAAAAACGTTTTATTTGTAATAAAAACTTTATAAAAATGTCGTGTCGTGTGTTGAATTGCAGCAGCCGCGACGACGCCTTGGCCAGAAAGTGGGTAGAGTTCTGCCGGCAGGAGAAGCCATACAATTTAGACCACTTTCTACAGGAAGACATGCGCTGTGACAAGATATTATCACTTTTTCGGCACCTGCAATACAAACACAAAAATTCTAAATAGTTAATTAATAAGACCTATTCTTTTGAACACATTTCAAGAGTGGTTGTATATTTTTTGTTAACGTTGTGCTTAATTTGCCATATTCAAAGATGGCTTGAGGAATCGGTGAATCGTGAAGAAAACTCGTTTTCTCACTGCAAATTCACAACTTTCAAATCATTGTTCTGCGCCATATTCTTTGTTTACCCGTTGCCACAAATGTCATTCTGCGGGAATGCGCAATCTTGTATTCTATCGTTCTTGTATAAGTGCATAGTTATTTACTGAATAGTAGCGCAGAATCACGCAGAATGCGCAAAACTTTGGCAGCAATAATCAAGTAATAAACCGTGGAAAGACGAAAAAATTTACTTGTGAGCCTTTTTAGCCTGAAGTATGTATGTATATGGGAGGTTCCATGGGAAACTGAGCCTTATAGCACAAAATTTTGTCTTGATAAAACTAACAAATGTGTGGATAAGACATGTGTACAAATCTTGAATTAACCAATTAACCTTTTTTACGTTTTAAAATCTAGTTATAAATAAATTTCTTTAGTAGGTTTAAAGTAGGTTGTGTTGAAAGTACTGTCAAATAATTTGCGATTCATAATTCAAGTGTTTGGTAGAAATATGTAGTAGAACTTATCTGCGTTTAATGAAATTGTATTATGTATTAAATTTTGTGAGTGCTTTATCTATATTATGAGTTATTATTAAAGCCCTGTATGCAGCTCTCAAGAAAAAGAGCACAAGGCAACCCAGGTTTGCAACAGAAATATATGCCCGTTCCATTATTTCTTGAGGAAAGAGTGAGGCAACAGGCTGTGAAGTATCAAAAATGTCAAAATTCCTTGGACACACACACGAAATAATGGCAATTTTTTCTTGACCGTTTTCTTGAGAGCTGCATACAGGGCTTTAGTATCCAGCTCTTAAGAAAATGCACAAGAAAATTGGGGTGTTCACAGTTCGTTCCAAATAGTGTCTCAAAATGTAGACGTCTACATTTTAAGACGTTTTCTAACCATAAAATCTGTGGTGTTGTTGTTTCCCATACAAAATTGGAAAACGACGCCGTCTACATTTTGTCACACTCAAAGGTATGTTTTTTACGCGTCTACATTTTGCAACCTCGCAGCAGGGTTGCATTATGGCAATACTAATCGCATTTTTTTTATTTATTGGGCACGTTTTCTGTATTTGCATTTAATTTGAGCGCGATTTCTGATGAAAAAGAACAAATCAAGGAAAAGAAATAACAAATATTAGGAATTGGTAATTAAGTTGAATAATTACAATTTTTCAGAAACAAAATCGAAAGGCGACATATAAAAAAGCACGCAAAGAAGAAATGTCTGGCAACACCAGCAAAGTTTTGAGACGATTTTGCGACGACTGCTAGAAAGGGGTGCTCACTGTTTGATGCTAAAGATGTCTCAAAATGTAGACGTCTACATTTTCAGGCAAAATTTGGAACGAACTGTGAACACCTCAAATGTTCGTGTTCTTTCTTCTGCTTGAAATAGTAGTAGGCCAGTAATTTTGACGTTTGATAATGCACCGTGAATAGTAAACAATGGCAGAAGAAGAGCGGTAAAAAGTAAACAAAAGAAACAATATTTTGCCTATGACCAATTTGTAAGTTTATAACAATATTTTTCCTTAAATTTATTAAAGTACATTTTAATTTATTTTTATTCAATTTCAGGAGATAGTTTTCACTGATATCGGAACATCACTATATCTACCGAAGAAATCGATTTGTCGGATTTGTCTGAGCCGGTGAAGTGTGAAGAATGTGGGAAAATAATGAAGAGAAGCTCATTAAAAAAACATAAGCAACGTCATAAACCAAAAACTTTTCTTTGTCAGGCCTGCCGTAAGTATTTCCGTT